TATACAATAGGTTGCGCATAATGTATAAGGGAGCAGCATCATCATCAATGAATCTGTTTGTGCGTTCACATATGCGGTCGAATTTTGTCTGGCTGCTTCTTGTTCGTTATCTGTCTTTCCGAGATTTTCAGACATATTGCCCAGCACCCGAGAGACCGTCCTGCGACATCGATTATTGCGGCTTGAACTCTCCCTGACGATCGTGGGTCTTAACCTCATGAGGCACCTGGTCCCTTTTTCCTGGATGTAAACGGACTACAAATATATGCTGTCTCGGAAAAATGACGTTCTCCTGCGGTTTTCACATATTACTTACCTAGAATTGCTTTCGCGTATATGAAATGTATCCTACATTCTACTGTGGATCGCAGACTTTTACCGATGCTACGACTTACCGTCACTTTGTGTAGGAATCAACAAAATCAAATAAGACTGACCGTTGATTGGTCCCGCACAATCCAAGTGGACTCTGTCAGGGCTTCTCCGACTCGGACCAAGGTTGTCACGGATATTTTGGAGGGGCCTTTGCAACTTGCTGACAAGATTCACAAGTTTGGCAAAACTGTTCGATTTCCGAATCAATTTGAGGCCAATACGTAAAATTTCGTGCCAGTGCCTTCATTCGGCTAGTTCTCGGATGTCCTGAATGAAACTGCTGTAGGATTCGCTTCCGCAACTTCCTTAGTACCACGATTCGGTCTCCAAACATTAAACATTTGTCAACGACCGAAAGATCCGCGCCGATTGAAGAAAGGTCGTGACAGTCGAAATGCGGACACTAGACCAACTGGACTGCACAAACACTATCACTTTCAGCAAGATCTCGTCTTGAGCCGTCTCTGCACGGTTCGTGTCCGAAGTTAATGGCAACTCCCTTACACTGTCAACCAGGAGCCGCTGAACTTCCGACTCGAATTTGACAGATGCAATGACGCACTCATCGTTTTCCTTCAAGTAGGAACCGAGGAGGCGAGATAGAGCGTCAGCTTGGCCGAGTTGTTGTGTAGATCGATATTGTATACTGAAATCGTAAGCCAGCAGTGCGGTTGTCCATCTCTGTAAGCGACTTGCTGTGAAAACAGGAATACCTTTCTTTGATCCAAATATCGAGAGTACAGGTTTGTGGTCCGTGATCTGTTTGAAATGTCTACCATATAGCATCTTGTGAAAGTTTCACCGCGAAAACAGTCGCAGGGCTTCCTTCTCAATCTGGCTGTAATTTTTCTCCGCTACTGTCAGCGACCATGCTGCGTGCGCAATGGCTTTCTCTTCTCCTCGTGGAAACACGTGGGAAAAGACAGCACGTACTCCACGGTTGAAGGCGTCCGAAGCAACAACAACCACCAAGTTTGGGTTGAAGTGGGTCAAGAGTAAATCAGAACTAAGCGCTGCCTTAATTGTATCAAAGGATTGTTGGCACTCCTTTGTCCATCACCATTCTTTCCCTTTCATGAGCAACTCGTTCAGAAACTTCTTGTCTGATGTAGAGTTGGCAAGGATGCATTATAATGGCTTACAAGACAGAAAAATGAACGAAGTCCAGCAACATCCCTTGGTGGTGGCATCTGCTTGACAGCTTCTATATTAGCGAGATCCGGACGCCGGCCATGTTTGTCAATGATAAAATAGAGAAACTTGACACTCTCCATCAGGAAGTTGCATTTTTCCACTCATAACCTGAAGCCACCTTCCTCTAGACGTGAAAGCACTTTCTCTCACGTGGCCAGCAAATTCTGTGGGTCAGACCCCATAATCAATGCGTCATCCAGGTATACTGCGACCCCAGGGATATTCGTTCAGCAGCGTATCCATGATTTGTTGAAAAATGGTGGGAGCGGTTTTCACTCCGAATGACCACCGATTGTACTGGAAAAGTCCAAGATGCGTGTTGACCATCAGTAGGGTACTGCAGTTCTCGGCTACTGGAACTTGTAGGTAAGCATTAGCTAGAACAAGCTTCGCAAACCATTTACCACCGTTAAGCTTGGTGAACAAATCTTCAGGTATAGGCAAAGAATACAGGTGATTCACCAACATGGAATTTAAGCCGGTTGAAAAGTCGGCACAAATACGTACCTTGCCGTTTCTTTTCTTCACCACAACGATGGGTACCGCCCATTCTGATTAATGTATGCGCTCGATTATGCCTTTCGACCGCAGACGATTTAACTCAGACCCAACTATTGGTTGGGTTGCGTACGGCACTGGACGTTTTGGTCTAAAAACAGGTCTGGCGTCTGGTTTGAGGTTCAGCTCTGCTCTGGCTATCCGGCAGCATCCAAGACCGAGTTAAAACAAACTTTCGTGGTGTCGCTTCAGTTCTGCAACTTGACTGTAAAATTAGAGGTTCGTATTCAGTGTCTGTGCGGGTTTCTCGACTTGTAATTTCTGGCTTATACTGTTAACTGACTGGTCAAGTAAGTTCAATTCCTCCATCCAATCGAGACTCAGCAAATTCAATCCTGGCTGATCTGTCACAAAACAGGTTGTACGAATGTGGTGATTGTGGAAACTAACCTGACAATGCAACTCTCCGAGTAATTTCAAGATACCCCCAGATGCATTTCGTGCTGTGTGGACAAGCGGTGGTCGTCCCAGCATACACTATGTGTATTGACAAATCAAAGTGATGTCTGACACAGCATCCAGATGCAGCTTAACTTCTTTATCATTGATCTTCAACACTGTAAGCCTATGCCTGCTGACGCCGTCAACCTTAAAAGTCACCGTCACAGTTTTGCCTCGTCGTGACATCGGAAACTCACCGGCATTCGATGCCGTTTTCCGTTCACTGTTGGTCGCTTCGCAAGACAACACTACTCTTTGTGTCCTCGCTTACCACAGCAATTGCAAATGTGATTCAGGAACGGGTAGTTTTGAGCAAAGTGCCATTCCCTGCAAAACCAACAAGCAGAAGGGGGTTTAGAATATGCTGAACTCACATGAACCGATTCTTTCTGAGGACTTCGACTTACCCTGCAAAAGATATCCTGGCTACTTGGGGTGGAGGACTGTCGGATCATAGCAACATCATGCTCCAAGCTCATCAACTATTGGCATTCGTTCGGCACTTTCTGCAGTGTGACCTCGGGATTTTGTACAATTCTGCTCAGTACCCTTGTTCGGACATCAGTATCTTTGGATGCTTGAAGACCACACGCATTAAGGCACTTGTACTGATCACCTGTTATCTTGTGAAACAGCGACCGTTCACACTCCGGATTCACGCGACACGAGTAAGTAACCAAGTCTTCATCGTCTCGCTTGGTCACCGTCAGGCAGCTGTATCGGATAGTGGTTAGTGACGACTGCTCCTCAAATATCTGCGACAAAGTAGTAAACGCTTCAAAGTTGAATTTAGCGAACACGCTGTGTGGTTGGGTTGCGACTCGCAACCTCGCTGCATCATATGTTAAATCAGCGCTCTGCTTCGGTAAGATAAAATGCATGAAGTTTTCATGTTCTGCCGCGTCTAATTTCCGCAGCATGAGGCGAACACTTGCCTTCCGAGACACAGGCTAAATCAACGCGAAACAAGTCTTCGTATTTATAGAAGCACGATTCAAAGGTAATACCGGCACCGGCATCGTAACGGAACCCACAAACTTGCTGGGTCAAGGTTTCTGTTGGGGGGCCACTTTCACTTGTTTCTGTTCCCGAGCCTGCTTGTAGCGATAAATTCTTGGTCAGCTTCTCGAGCAACCTGGCCTATGCTTTCTCAAACTGCGCTTGCTGTTGCTGCAACAGAGCCTGCAATTGTTCAAAACGGATTGACAACTTTGGGTTCTTCTGACTCCCGTCGCCACTGTTGTACTGCTGCTTTGCTTCACCTGTGAGACTGCGACCGACTGTCTGCTCAGCCAGGCGCCCAGCCAACCGTAGGAATACAACAGACCAAGGCTCGGTAGGCAGGACATATCTACAGGATAGGTCAACTCTATTTATTGGCGAACGAAACATACTAATTTTGGAAGCCCAGGCCACCCACTCTTCTGCGTCTGGTTCTCAGCCAATGTGAGTGAATTCCGTCCCACGGGTTTACCATATTTGGCAGAATGGTTCGCCTCCTTTGACGCGGGCTTGTATTTGCTGGCCAATCAATTCGCACCCGATTCCCATATTTGGCGGAACGGTCGAAGGTCGTTCCACACCCGTGCTGATGACCTTCACAGGCAGCAGACAGCTCAAGTGCTCTGCGGTAAGCCCGCGCGCAACCTCGTATCTGGACATTGGCTCCGCTTACCTCTAGTAAACAGAGAGGACGAAATGACGCCGCCTTACAGCACGCGTCTTCTTATTGTTCTATACAAGCTAACACAGAGAAAACGGTGCTTCAAATTTCTAAAACGTTTTAAGCACTGGTTGATCGACATATAGCTGTCTCTCATTTGTAGATGTGATGTAAGTAAAAACGCTGACTGTTAGTAACATACTTGACTGCCAGCAGAAACAAATGTGAACAAAGAGAAGCCCGTCAGAGGTGAGTGATGCCGTGTTCCTGTGTTTCACGGATTTATTCCACGCCAACTTGCTATAAACTACCTAGGTTGCAGTCGTTAGATACCGACGAATCAGCTCCATAATGTGGACATTTAATTGCCAGGTTATTTGCAACGTTTCGTGGTACTATTCAACTCATCACTTTTGAGAGTTAGTACTGAAATTAGTACGCGCATCTATCTTATTCCTCGAATGCGTACCAGGTCGGTAATCCTCACCAGAAAAAGCGTACTTGGGGCTATCCAACCAGCCCGGAATCGTATATGTTGTGTGCTGTCGCTGCATCATATATTGCATCCGTCAGCAGGTAATCCGCCATCCTTTGTTCGTCCAACCTTCATCGCACAGGCCGTGGCTGCCCAGATCGGAATAGATTGGCAATAAAAGCATTACTACCAAGCTTTTGCGTGGTACGCGTTGCGCCGTGTGACTGTATCCGCCTATTACTCAGTCCAGAGGATCAGCTTCTTGCCTTTGTGGGTGTGTGCCATGTCGACTGCCTAACTGGTCAGTGAGACAATTTGACTATAATTAGGGTCCGAAACGATGGCCCATGTGGAACGAAGCCCGGACGAGCACAGCTGAAAAGCAGCTGCAGCTCTGGGAACCATGTCGAAATGGTTCGAGCTGGAATAGCGTGCTCTGGATACAACGGTCGTTTTCATACCAAGTGAGCCCACCTGTTACCGGGGAAGGTGAGAGAACTCAGACATTCATTGGAAACATGGCACTTCTGATGCAAAAATGTGATAACTTGGCTAGGGTGATCGAAGAAGTTAAAATTATTAAAAAACCCTTCAGAATCAGCTGAAGTGGGCATTAGGGTTTCATGTTCTACTTTGGAACAAAGTAGCCAAGTCAAGTGTAAGTATGACAGCCAGCAGCTTGGCGCGTAGACAACCACAACCTGCAACCGTCTGGAAATACTTCTGTGGCGTATACTTCAACAATAACCGGGGTTCGTCACTATCGCAGGTTTGGCCGAATGGGGATCTACTGCACTGCTCACTGACCCGGGACAGCTCTCACAATCGCGAGGATCACATTTAGAATGAGCATCATCAAGTCAAAGGTAAGGGACACACCGTAAACCGGTTACATCCAAATAAATCCACAGTGCGTTGAAGATACTGTATTCCAATGAGCACGAGGATAGCGCAAACGCGATAAGGGCAAGTTGTTGGTGAGCATAAACAGTGGGATTTAGTATGCTGACTAACAGACGTCACTGCTAAACCGGCTGGCACGGTGCGCATTATACTGCGCCAAAACTCGGCCCACTAAGAAGAACCACAGAAGTCCGGTGAAACACTAAGATCAGGAGACGAAGCATAGATATAGAAACGGGCGGAATCAGTGGTTAGACGCCCTGTCAAAAGTGGTTAAGTCACATACTTCATTATTTCTATTAAAAATCTTAGTTTATCGCATATTCTTGAATTAACACTATGAGGAAGAGAATCAAAGTGACTTGATCCAGTGCACGTTGACATAAGGAACACAAGTGTACACAAAACGAAACAACCTGGACAACAACAACAGAACACCAGCCATTTGAACTGATGTTTCGTTGCCACACAACCATGGTGACCTATGGAACGAAGAATTAAAAAAGGAGAGAAGGGGGACGTGGCGTAAGTTCAATGCCGTAAACAAACATTCATGGTCTAGACGCCTACATCTTGTCAACAACATATCGTCACAAACAGCTGGCTATCGTACAAAGATAAGACGGCATCAGCGAGGTAACTTCCTTGAGGTTTTCACTACCCCGCGTCATTATCAGCCATTACACCATAGATAACTCAGCAGCAAACACACTTTAAACAGGCACTCCGACTAAGACAACAGCAGACGTGCTAGTGGGGTCAATTGCGAGCCGTCTTGTAAAGTCTCAAGCCAAGCACAAGGAGAATCACGCGGACTCCAGCCTGGAAGGCGAGACCGCCCGACGGCAATAAGTTTGGTCGTTAGTGACTTCAATCCCCACTGCCAAGTTAACGTTTGTCCACTTCGGGCCTTTCGTCATCCTATCTCTGGTGAACGAAACAAGGCCCTCCTCAGTAAGCGGTGACCGGGCATACGTAGTAGATGTCCAAAGCAACGCAGCTTTTGCAGTGCTATCTGTTGTTCTAAGAAATTAGCTTGATCATTACTGCCTAGTACTCGCCTGCGCACATCGCTTTTGTGGAAACAGAAAACGAAGCCCTCGAACACTAGGCAAAGGTGGTGCTGCCGGACCGTCTCGAATTCCGGGTTGGGTTCACGAGAGCCATTTAGTGAGCACCAACGCATGACTCCGAATGCCTGCTTATTTCGCTTGAATTCTACCCACACACACACACACACTGAAAATCGTTACCACCAAAGCCGTCCACCTTATTCTACGGTTTAACGAGAGAAAAGCACCAGTACAACACTAGTATGAGAGTACATTGCTGTTGCGGCTGCCACTGTTGATCTGAAAGTGTGAGGCATCGATTGTTTCCAATCTCGTCGCAAGGCACAGTAGTTTCTGGCTAGATAACCCAGGAGGGACAGATCGCAACGCGCGAGCAATGATCGCCATACAGAAGCGCATCTAACGGCCAACACAGAGTAGGGGGATATCGGCTGGGTGTGCAGATGATGAATTGAGTCACAAAGCAGTCACCTGTGGCTCTCAAAGGCGTGGTTACTTGGCTGGGAATCTGAGTTGCGATAGACAGTGACTGCAATGACGAGGGCTTGCGTGTACGCGGTCCACTCTCGGATCAGGTAGCGTGTCATTGTGGTTGAAGGACCGTTAGAAACAGTTCGTCCCCTTCTGGATCCTTACGTGAACGACAGTCTCATGTGGAAACAATTGAGGTACGGTGAAGCCCAGAGTAGGCACTCTGGAGGGGGAGGTAACCGAAAATGCAGTAGTGGCAGTATTAACAACAGGCTAACGAGTAGACATGGAGCCATACAGAAAGCATGAAAATCAAAGGTTTGATCACAACATGGCACATTAGCTGAAGGTGGGCGACACAGTTCAGCTACTGAGCCGCAAGAAGAACGGAACATTTTTGTCGCTTTTTTCACGCGCCATTTTTCATTGTTCTACTCTTGTTCAATTGTCGAGTATTAGTCAGTTTAGTCTAAACAAGTATACACATAGATCTTCCACTGGTTTCGATTGTGCGTCATATGATGAACTGTTTCCGGCCATCGGCACTCCTCGGCCTTTGGTCCCCAACCAGGCAGACGTGTGGATACAAGGGAAGCAAGAGGTGAAGGTAAGGAGTCCATATGCTGCCGCGAGGTGGACGGCTGATCACCACGTGCTCTCCTCCAATCAGGTCATGCACGAGCGAAAAGGGTGCAATAGGGAAAAACGCTCAGCGGACATACGCAAGACGTGACAGAGCCACCTTAACTGACGCAGTAAAACTGGGTTGTTGAAAGGAAAACGCGCATCCCCTAAGACATGACGTCGGACTTCACCGTTGCAGATACTTCGCTGCCACCGCAAAGGAAAAACCCTCCTCAAGCACCCATTGTCGAAGGCCGAGAGCCGGCGCATGTCAACTACGCGAATTGGCCACAACTCGCTTCCATACAGCAACACTGCCCGAACGGTGGTACTGTAAACACGACCCTTAACCAAGAGTCAGACATCCAGAAGACGCCACAAGTGCTTAAGGTTGACGAACACTAACCGACCTTTGGTGGTAAGGAGAGAAACTTCTTTCTCAACAGTACCACCAGCAGACATGCAGCTGCCTAGATAGACAAAGCTATCTACTAGTTCAAGTTGTGTACCTTCAACAGTGAGCAAGGGAATGGGCGAGTGCTAATTGTGAAGCAGTACCTTACACCTTGTAGGGACGAAGCACATTCCATACACAGATGCCTCAATCGCCAATCGGTTTAGGATAGTTTGCATGCTCTGTGAGTAGTAGCAAAGTAAGGCGATATCATCGGCATAATCTAAGTCGGTCGCTCGCTCACCCGGTATTAGTTATAAACCAAAATCTAGGTAATCATTTATAGCTCTCGATAGGAGGACTGCAATTGCAACATTGAAGAGAAAGATATAGGACAACCCTGTCGTACACCGCTATTAATAGCGAATGACGACGAAAGCTTGCTATAGACCCTCACTCTACCGGAGATGTGGAGTGCGCGTAGGATGGCAGTGTAGTTTTCGGGGACCCCGTTCTTTAGCAAACAACGTCTTTGGTAGAGGTAGCGGTGTTCTAGGATCGGGTGGAGCGTGAATATTTGATCCACATACCCACGACCAGAAGAGAAACCAGCTTGTTCTTCCCGGTACTGCGATTCTCGAAAGGAGGAAAGTCTTCGGAGTAGAAAGGATGCGAAAACCTTGGAAGTAACCGAAATGAGACTAATCCCCCGATGATTGGTGCATGAAGTGCGAGCACCCTTCTTAGAAACCGGGACAATAGCTGACTCGCCGGAGGAATAAGGCACCTTGTCTTCATGCCAGATTTTGGAGAACAATGTGGTTAACTGGCTGATGGTAACTGCGCCTCTATACTTGGACCGCTCCGGAGAAAGTCCATCGGAGCCAGCAGCCTTGAATCGTCTGCGTCGAAGCACACGACAAACATTCGCTTAGCTGGGTGGATCAAATGTGACGATCCAGAGCGGGCAGTTGGGTTCGCAAGGAATAAAAGTGGATGGTGAGGACCAATAGATCTGCGAAAAGAATTTTCGGCCTGTTGCAAAACGCAGTACTTCAGCGATAAGCGTTTATTTAACGAAGACAGCTCAGCGAAAATTATAGCATGTTTAACAAACCAAACTCCTCGATAGAAATTGCAAGTTCAAGTCCATAACTAACGACCCTTATGGATCGATGAGGTTCCTGCTTGGGTTTAGTTAAACCAACGGTGAATCACTCACACGAATGTCGGCCAATCCGAGTCCAGTAATTGTATCCGTCATGTCCGCCTCCCACTAGCTGTCTGGCTCGCTCGGTTGATCCATCCGTTCACCCTATTCTGACGCAATCATCACATACTCCCTTTTTCGTGTTCTTGAGCCTCCATATTGCTATCCAGCCCGTACACCTTGCCACTCCGCGTCGTCTTCGCTGTATCTGCGACCGTGGTCTCCTTGCCCAACGCCATCTGCCACTCCACAGTGTTGTTTCCAGGTCCGTCTCAAATACGCTCGATTTCTTTTGAACGTTTTCTGTCCAACGTTTATTTTGTATGACCTGGCATCGACCCTCGCAGTCACCACATCTTTCTTCCACCGCTCTTGACTATCGGGTAATGGTTAAACCCACACTTCCTCCCCCACTGTTAGTTCAGGTAGCACCCGTGCACCGCAGTCATAGCACCGTTTCTGAGTGGTCATTCGTCGTCTCAGATTGTTCTGTAATCGTTCGTGCTGTGGCGAAACTGGGCGCAAAAGTGTGGCAGATACCGGTGTCAGAGTTCTAGTCCTTCGGCTATATAGGCGCTGCACTGGGCTCAAACCGATATTCGTTGAATGAGTGTTACGACTCTCCAGTACAATGAGGTACGGGTCTTCGCCAGTTGCCCTAGCTCATGATACCAGTCGCTTGGCCTGCTTCACTGCCGACTCCGCCTTCCCATTCGATTGACTGTGATATGGGCTGGTTTGCTGGTGCACGAATTCCCACTTGGTTGCGAACGCCTGGAACGCACCGCTGGTAAACTGG